TCTATAACAGAATTCACCAGACAGTATGATATGGCAGTGTGCTAGGTCAAAGGTTAATGGCTGGATGTACCTACATGGCCTCTATAACAAAATTCACCAGACAGTATGATATGGCAGTGTGCTAGGTCAAAGGTTAATGGCTGGATGTACCTACATGGCTTCTATAACAGAATTCACCAAACTTTATGATATGGCAGAGTGCTAGGTCAAAGGTTAATAGCTGGATGTACCTACATGGCTTCTATAACAGAATTCACCAGACAGTATGATATGGCAGTGTAATGGGTTAAAGGGGAAAGGTTTCTTGAATAAAATATCATGAACACAACTCTAAACCTCGAGTCAAATTTTTATATAGAATTATACGTATCCTTTTAATTCACAAACCCTCAATCACACAAACAGTAACAAACAGTATTTAAAGTAATGAAACCATATTATTACACTGCTATGGTAGGAACACAGTAAAGTTTGCATGACATCTTCAGGAAGAATATTAACGTACTAGAAATTACAAGAAATTATATACATGTTTATGTGTATGTATATATATATGTAAAACAATTTTATTTCATGACACCATTAATATATACCATGAATTCTTTATCAGCTCATGCATGAGGTCTTTTATATATACTGTTAAATCATAATGACTGAATTTAAAAAGGTTTTAAAGATGGAATGTTTAGTATATGTGATTTCTGACAAAACTGAGTTCTCAACATCATTGTACTGATGTAAAATGTAGGCTATGAACTTAATTAATCAACTACCTTGGATCATCCATTAATATCATGTAAACAACTAACTGAAATTAATGTTTAGTATATGAACTTAATTAATCAACTACCTGGGATCATCCATTAATATCATGTAAACAACTAACTGAAATTAATGTTTAGGGTATGAACTTAATTAATCAACTACCTGGGATCATCCATTAATATCATGTAAACAACTACCTGAAATTAATGTTTTCAATTATTTTAATTATCCAGTAACCAAAATTTGAATTAATATAAACAAATAAGCAACTATAGTTGACTGAAATCGATTAATGAGCCAGACAATTAATTAATTAGTAAGTTCAAACTACAGTTGAATGAAATCGATTAATGAGCCAGACAATTAATTAAATAGTAAAGTCCAACTACAGTTGAATGAAATCGATTAATGAGCCAGACAATTAATTAATTAGTAAGTTCGAACTATAGTTGAATGAAATTGATTAATGAGCCAGACAATTAATTAATTAGTAAGTTCGAACTATAGTTGAATGAAATCGATTAATGAACCAGACAATTAATTAATTAGTAAGTTCGAACTACAGTTGAATGAAATCGATTAATGAGCCAGACAATTAATTAATTAGTAAATTCCACTAATTTCCCCAATTCTAATTCTGACACAACTTCTTAGTGAGTTGTTGTATTGGTTAGGTGATAAAATAACCATTCTTTTTACCATGTTAACCATCCAGTCCTGTTGAAGGAAAAACCAAGTTAGGTGCAAAAAATAAATGTATTTCAACTGTAAACTGATATTACATGTGTTTATTTTTGTAAGATGATTAAACAGAAAAAGCTGAGTATTTGTACGAAACTGTTTATACAGTAATAAACCTTGTGTTTCAGTGTTATGGAGAACGTTAATCTACGAGTGCTAAAAGAACCATTAGGATTCATGCGGGCCATTCAGTTTGTAAGTAATTGAAAAGATATTTGGTAGTTTAGGAGGTTTTGTTTAATGAATTTTCATTACCTAGTCCTGTAGATACGTGTATGTTGTTGTATGACAAGAAATACACAGAGAAAACTAAATCTGATATTATGTTATTCTAGTCCTGTAGATACGTGTATGTTGTTGTATGACAAGAAATACACAGAGAAAACTTAATCTGATATTATGTTATCCTAGTCCTGTAGCTACATGTATGTTGTTTTATGACAAGAAATACACAGAGAAAACTAAATCTGATATTATGTTATCCTAGTCCTGTAGATACGTGTATGTTGTTTTATGACAAGAAATACACAGAGAAAACTAAATCTGATATTATGTTATCCTAGTCCTGTAGCTACGTGTATGTTGTATGACAAGAAATACACAGAGAAAACTAAATCTGATATTATGTTATCCTAGTCCTGTAGCTACGTGTATGTTGTTGTATGACAAGAAATACACAGAGAAAACTAAATCTGATATTATGTTATTGTTTGATGTAAAAACAGTGTTACAGTTTGAGCTTTCTGGTATTTCTTAATGATTTCTTCCCACAGAGCAAAATGTGGAATATTTTCTCTTTAAAATAATCATAAAGGTGTGTGGTGACGGTAAGGGTACGTGTGTAATGATGTTAGAAGTGTGTGTATATGTGTAGTGACGGTAAGGGTACGTGTGTAATGATGTTAGAAGTGTGTGTATATGTGAAGTGACGGTAAGGGTACGTGTGTAATGATGTTAGAAGTGTGTGTATATGTGTAGTGACGGTAAGGGTACGTGTGTAATGATGTTAGAAGTGTGAGTACATGTGTAGTGATGGTAAGGGTACGTGTGTAATGATGTTAGACGTGTGTGTATATGTGTAGTGACGGTAAGGGTACGTGTGTAATGATGTTAGAAGTGTGTGTATATGTGTAGTGACGGTAAAGGTATGTGTGTAATGATGTTAGAAGTGTGTGTACATGTGTAGTGACGGTAAGGGTACGTGTGTAATGATGTTAGAAGTGTGTGTATATGTGTAGTGACGGTAAAGGTACCTGTGTAATGATGTTAGAAGTGTGTGTATATGTGTAGTGATGGTAAGGGTACGTGTGTAATGATGTTAGAAGTGTGTGTATATGTGTAGTGATGGTAAGGGTACATGTGTAATGATGTTAGAAGTGTGTGTATATGTGTAGTGACGGTAAGGGTATGCGTGTAATGATGTTAGAAGTGTGTGTATATGTGTAGTGACGGTAAGGGTACGTGTGTAATGATGTTAGAAGTGTGTGTATATGTGTGTAAGGGTAAGTATGTCTTGTTCCCCAGCTCAATTATCTAGAGATTCACTACTGTCTTGTTTGTCCAGCTCAGTTATCTAGAG